TGCAGGACGGTAGCTTGACACGCTAACCACTCGGCTACAGTGCCACGAGTACCCTTGAGTCACAGGGCATTAGTGAATTTCAAGCAGGTCAAGCCTCTGCTATATCATATTCTTTGGTGGGAGTGCCGATGAAGCAAACGTATGTTTGCTATAGCAATCGACAGCAACCACTCGGCAACACTGGCCGAGTACCCTTGAGTCACAGGGCATAAGTGAGTTTCAAGGAGGGTCAGGCCTCTGCTATATCATATTCTTTTGGTGGGATTGCCGATGAAGCAAACGTATATTTGCTAGAAATCGACAACGTTACTTATATTCGTATGAAAGTAGGGTTTCGAGACTACCAGTAAATCAGTGTAATGACTAGTCGAGTCGCCTCCCTTTTTCCAGGCGGCTCAACACTCTTTTCTATCCTTGAGTCTATCAATTAAGCACAAGTAATTTTTACTTGTAGATACGAAGATAAACTTGATTTCGATTAACCTCTCGAGATAATATTGTTAGGGGGACCTTCATTTCGTATGAAAGTGCATGATGAATATATTCGTTGGTCGTTCTCACCAGGTGAGGACGGATGAATCTCGTTGCACTTCAGCCGTTTGGATTTTATACGATATTCACGTTGACGCAGTCCACGAGACTTCCTCCCTCTTCGGGTGAAAACGTGCTGAGCTTTCGTCCATCATATGAGTGGGTGTCATTCTTGTAAAAGGCTTTCGTTAACACTATGCTAAGAAGGCTATCCGGTTTTATCTTACCTCTTATATAGACTCAGTTAATCCAAAAGAAAATTAAAAATTAAAATTAAGTATTGTTTTCGTGACTACTAGTAAATCAGTCATGTGAGATGTATTCGCCCAATTTCGTTTAAGGTGATGAAGGACTGGTAGAAGAAGAATTTTCCCACCATGACACGAGTTGAGCTGACGTTTACATCGAATTTCACATAGCCTTACTTTGGATGCGAACAACTTTTGGGAAAGCAAGGTTATGTGAAATTCAATGTAAACGTCAGCTCAACTCATATCATGGTGGGAAAATTCTTCTTCTACTAGTCCTTCATCACCTTAAACGAAATTGGGTGAATACATCTCATATTAAAAATTAAAAACCTAGATAGATATAGAGTGGTTTGGCTAATTATCTTTCATACGTGTCCTGCTACTTTTGCTCGAGTGTATGCGTGTGTGTTCGCGTTTATACGCAATACCGGTCCTAAATCAGAGTTATCAAAAGGTTAAAGTTACGCTTTGATTATCAAGGCCTAATGACCTCAAAGAAAGCCCTGACCAAGACTGCGTAAGTCCGTAAGCAAGTATGATTGAGATACCTCTCGGTCTAGGCTCATTAACGTTTAACCCTCTAAGGAAAGACAT